TTCGAAACTAAACATTGTTTTAATTAATTAAAAATAAATTTTCCTCTAAATTCATTAAATGTTTTTATGACTCTCTCTCTCTCTCTCTCTCTCTCTCTCTCGACCCAAATATTATCCATCATTTCCAATAAGATTCACAACACATGATAAATAAAAAGCCAATCCCTGTATCTCAATCCTAATGTTCTCGTTTCCTAAAGTTAACTAAAACCTAATATTTTATTAGCGATACTCTTATTGCAAATATAATAGTATATTGAAAATGAAGTTAAGATAATAGTCGTCACACGAAACACACACATAATAAAGACATATATTGTGCGATAAGTATCTAAATTAGATAATAATGTCTAAAAAAGTATATTAAATATTCCGGTCGACACACGAGTGTCGAGAAAATTATTTTTAAGTGTTTTGCAAATATTCAGATACAGTATAGTATTATTTTGTGGCGTAAAACAAATCAATCAAACATAATGTGTGTGAGAGTGGCATAAATAGATACCCTATTTGTGAGTCACAAAACTCTTTGTCCATACGGTTATTGAAAATGATGTGATTTTTTCAATTTTTGTGCACATATTTTGTCGATTAGAGTGTATTAGGGTTTTTGTTCATATATGTAATTTTGAGAATGCCTTTTGTGTTTATATGTGTATGGGGTAGGGGTTGGGGTAGGGGTTGGGGAGGGGAACGGCAATGTGTGTCCGTATTATAGGAAACACAGACACACATATTGAGCTGATATGAGATGAGGTGGAAGTGATTAATTTAAGTGTATGGAGTGTATAGAGTGGATGAGTATGTGGTGTATGGTGTTTGCCATTCAAGTCGGTATGCGGTCAGTCCGTCAATGTTTTTGCATACGACTCTCCTATTGATCACAGAGTATGATATTTTTGGGGGTCTTATACTCTATGTCTGCTCTTATATAATAACGTCTAATACAATAAATGGCAAAATTAGAAATACAAACGTCAAGCTGTGAGCGCCCTATCAAATAGATTATTAAATATGATTCACAACTTCCCCATCCATCCTTTCCCTTCAGCTCTCTCTCTCTCTCTCTCTCTCTCTCTCTCTCCATCTGACCATCACTTACTTTGTACTTTTCCTTCATCTGCGCTAATGTTTATCTCATTTTGTCTGTCATTCACTCAATCTGTGCGTTTGTGTGGCCAAAGATGGTACAAATGGTACAGTATTTTTCAGGGCTAACGGTATAATTAGTGCGGAACCCCATCCCTGGCCTCCCCTCCCACTCCCCATCATTTCCACTACCACTTCAAATATGCAACGGTTGGCAAGTTTTTTGTCCTTAACTAATAACATGTGAGAAAAGCCATCACTTTTCTTCATGATATCTGTATACTGTATATACTCTATATTGTATTATATAAGTCGAGAGAGAGAGAGAGAGAGAGAGAGAGGTGGGAGTGTGTGGATAGGGATGAGTGTCTTTAAGTGAAGTAATTTCACTTCTTCTTGGACTCCGAGTGGGTCTCAAACTCCGTGAAAGTGGGGCTCAAATACGCGTGTAATTTGACTTTACTTTATATATAAATCTAGTCTACAGTCAAATCACTGACAATATATGGGTATATATTGAGGACTCATCTCTCTCTCCCTTTCCCACTCACTCTCTCCCTCACTGTCTCTACCAAAACACCTCCGACTCTGAGTTCCCGAATGGATGGCTAGAGATAGAGATGATTGAGAGGGGAATGGGATTTAAGGGTATGGGTTGTAATTGTCAACTGAATTATAAATAATACCCTTTAAGTCAATTCATATGAGGATTTCATTTCAAGTCTCGCTCTCCGACTCACTCTCTTATGGCATCAATCCTATGGACTGACTGCCAGTGTCTGCGGTGTTATATAATGGTATCCTTTGAACCAAAAAATAAAATGAAAATAAATTGATTTTTAAGGCCAATCACTCTCCAAATCTCTCTCTCTCTCTCTCTCTCTCTCTCTCTTTCTTTCTCTGCCTTACAATTTATATAAATATAATTTATCATTAAATCCTCGATAACTGGTTTAGTCTCGTCTTATGATATGAATTATTCAATGAGTAAAGAGTTGTTTCTTTATTACAAGTTATGTATTATTATTATATAACTTATGGTGTGTTTTGAACGACTAGTTACTGGTATTCTTCAATACAAATGTAAAATAGTTTTTGAAAGCATTTTTGGGTTTCTAATTATTTATTTTGTCTCTCGTTTTAATGGCTACTATTTTTTGCAGTTGAAAATATTTTTTGGCAAAACACTAGTGAAAGTATAATAAAAATTATGACATTTATTCGTTTGGAAAATAAGATTTAGGGGAGAGAGAGAGAGAGAGAGAGAGAACTTAATTGAGAATTAATGAAACGATTTTGTGATCCAAAAAACAGGAAGAGAATCATAAGCCGAAAGTAGAGATTGTGGTACCGGTGCTCAAGAAGCGAAACCGAATGGACGCCATCTCCACTGTAACCGCTATGAATGAGATGGACGGCAAGCCGTACGCTATGAATCACATGAACCACAACTCGTTGAATGTGATCAATAAGATGGTGAGTCCGGCGTCGGGCGACTCTCAACACGACTCCGGACAGGAGGACGAAGTGATGGAGGATTGCGTGAACGCGCGGACACCACTCATGGCCATCAAACGGGGCACCGATCAGGCTGTAAGTGATCACTCATTTGAAACTTATGCCCAAATATATGATCATCTCTGGAGTGGGTGTCTTGTATTAACGGATTTGTCTGTACTTTTGCAGTGGGTTTTGATCGAACAGATCGATAACTCGGAGCCGTCGACACCTGTATGACAATGAGAGTAATGATGCTATCGATTGGTCGCCCAATCCATGGCATCGGCATATCTGAAGAGAGAACTTATTTTTTGCTCAACCATTGCAACCATTGGCCGAATTATGAACACATGTTACCATTGAATTGGTTTTGATTAATGTCGAAGTCTTTCACACATTAGGATTGATTTGAAAGACAATTACTTTGAAAGAACTCATTGAACGGCATATGAAGACTGAGTTATGTTTAAGTGCTCTTAACATCAAAATCGTAGCTCAATATTACTATTATTATAATTATATTATTACTTATTAATTGAATTATTCATAAGAATGTTATGAATAGACAATTGAATTATTGTTTCAAATGGTTTTGATCTTCAAAAGAAGTCTAATTTTAGATAAGAAATCAATTTATCAAAGAAATAGTGAATTCACGAGAATATAATGATTACATAATTATTATGATTTGTGCCTTAAATTTACCACTTGTTTGATAATTATATGAAATGTAAATCAAAGAATATTTTATATTAAACGATAAATTTAATGAAATTAAATAAAATTACTAATTTAAAATTGTCTCATATTTGGCGTTAAAACATTTTATTATTTTCTATAAAAGTAATAAAAGTTATAAAATATTAATAAATGATCGGTAATAATAAAATTACAATACAATAAAAGTGTTATATTATTACAGGTAAAATTTTTCTCTCTATTAAGCAATTTATAAGTAAAATATCATATAATTAACAAATCACTAATTATTGGTGCGATTGTCTCACATAATCGGCCGGTATTTTCAAGTCTTCGCTGCTCTCGAGTGCCGTTAAATGACCGACTTTTACAAACAAATCGTATTGATATAGAGTTAGAGACGACAAGTCTTTTATGTAATCGGGAACCGAATCGCTATCCGCCAACTGTTCCAACACTTCTAAACCGTTGTCATTCTTCAGGAGTGGGCAATATTTTTTACTCTTGACTCGAGTCAGATTTGCCAACGCCCAGACCGACCAATACTGAGCCCCCGATGGTATGCTTGACTTTAATAGACGTAGAAACGGTTTAAAGGATCTAAATTGCAATCAATTAGCAAATAAAACAACGAATTAAAGCGATTATAAAAACTATTAAATTAAAAAAGCAACTCAAGAGCACCTGTAGTTGATTTTTATCTTGGAGTTGATCTTCCATAGTTTAATGGCGGCACTCAATTGGTTCAGAGCATTGTCTCGAACTCTATCATACGGCCACTTATTCTCGCCGGCTGTGGACAGACATATCATGTGTTAAAATCGCAACTAATCGCACGTCAAATGTATGGCTCACTAACCGATATGCGAGAGAATTGCGGCCGCATTATAGCTCACTTCAATGCCGGCCGACTCGTTGTCCAACAGTTGCACAAATCGTTTAATGAACCGAACGCTCATCAGTCGGGGCCGCAGTTCCTCGCAGAGGGCGACGTTTGCCACCATTCCTGTCATATTCCTCAACAACTCTGTCGTCAATAGTATAGCAAATTGTAATAAAATATATAACAAAAACACTACATAAGACATACGGGCGCTGTTGGGAAAGGATTGCAAACACCTCACGAAGACATCCATTCCGTTACAATCGATAAAACGTTCGCAATTTGCATGAGTTGTGTCACTCGCGGTCCACATTATACTCCACGCCCTCTCCATTGCTTCATCGCATATATTACTCTGGAGTCTCGTATCGATTAATGACAGCATTTGGTCGATCGCCAAATGGCCAACAATTGTCTTATGGTAGTCGTCGAGCCCACACATGAGATCCTCCAAATACATCAGACCCATCCTCAGCAACACGTCGTCCTCAAAGTTGGTTACAATAGATATGATGTCCGTTAAACGCGACAATTCATAGATCTGATCCAATAAAACATTTGTCAATTAAATAAACAGTAAATGCGAGAGAGAGAGAGAGAGAGAGNATATCAATACGATTTGTTTGTAAAAGTCGGTCATTTAACGGCACTCGAGAGCAGCGAAGACTTGAAAATACCGGCCGATTATGTGAGACAATCGCACCAATAATTAGTGATTTGTTAATTATATGATATTTTACTTATAAATTGCTTAATAGAGAGAGAGAGAGAGAATTACCACATCAGTTGGTATCTCGAAGTGTACGAGAGCCAATATTCCGTTTCGTAATATCTAATGGTATGAAACAAAACAACAGTTCAAACATAATTATAGAAAAGTTAATACAAAAACTAAATTCAAATCATATAATACATACAATGATGTCATATCTGTGTTTATGCATAGCATCCAGAAGTTTAGTGACTATCAATCGCTTGACTTTAATATTGAAGTTAAGGTTCGCTTCGTATGAGTGAACGATATAGAAGAGCAAAGCGGTGGCCAGCGTTTGTATGCACTCGTTAGGCAAGTGTCTGGACATCGATTGCAACACTATTTCGAGCGCTCGGTTCACGTCATGGAAGTTAGTCTATAAACCAAACAACAAAATAAGTCATTCATTGATATTTAAGACTCAAATCGTACTTCAGAATTGAAACAGTCGAACAGATCATTGAGTGTACGCTCCAAGAACTCCACTCTATCGATATAAACTTCACAAGCAGTCAGTATCTGCTCTTCAGTGGCGTCGCCCGAAACCTATTCATTGAAGTAAACAATTAATTAACAAATTGTGGTATAAAAGTGATAATCACTGACTGAATGCGCGGGTATTGCGCGCCTATTGGCCGCCTCATCGGCCGTCTTATAGAGCCCTAAAAATTCAAATGGTGTTGTGTTTCGTGAAACTAATCCCCGGATAAATTCACAACCTTTGTTTAGAAAAAACATTTATTTTTAAAGTATTACTCAATGGGTTGCCATCACTTACTCGGACCCGCGAGGTTAGTGCCCGATATGTCCAGTCGTGTCAATTCAGGCAAAGAGTTCACTATAAGTGCCAACTGGGCGTTAGGCTCTCCATATACGTGTCCGTAGCGGTCATCAGTGGCTGAGATGTCGAGACAACTGCTCGTAAAACAATCCATTAATAAAACTGTCACGAAATGGACAAAAGAGTTACCGTAAAGTCTTAATCTTTACGATTTTATTGATGGCCAGATGTAGTTTCGGACAGTTGTATAAAATCAATGTCTTCAATGCCCGCAACTGTTCCAGTGGTGAGCCGTAACCGATAGCACTGCCATTACTACGAGACCAACAATTGTGAGCAATTCATATGAGAGACAACTTCGAGCATACCTTAAGTCCAAGTGCTGTAACGTGTGTTTCATTTGAGAGTTAATTAAATACTTGAGATAATGAGCGGACGCGTCGATTGGGTTCCACTCGTGTATCACTAGTTTACGTATTGTTAACAATGGGTTAATTAAATGACTATTGGATGACGAGTCCTGGAAGACAATTCAAATTAATCATTAGTTATGGTAAAAATTAGTGATCAAGTGATGGATAGTCTCACCTCATCGTGGAGTCCGTCCTCCTCTATATAGTCGGGCAATATATGCGCTGAACAACCGATGATTAGTGTCTGGAGGGGCGAAGGCTGCCATGTCTTGATCTCTAAAGTCTTGATCCGATTGTCGCCCATATTCTTACTAAAACTCTCCGACGGCTTATAGAATTCGCATTCATTCACAGGAATTGGTGACCGATTGGTCGCTACGGCCGGCACTCCATTGCACTCAACGGCCATCGCTTCGTCCGATAGCCGCCAATCGTAACCCCGAATGCCATTCAATTCGCGTATTTTTCGGGCCTTAAAGTCACTGAAATCCGGGTCATCGAAGATACCCATCGCTTGTGTCAGAGAGTAATCATCGGTAATGAGGCCCACGTTTTCGTCGACAGTGCAGTTGTCTCTCGTGGTTGTGATCACACCATTGGCGTAGTGTTTGGTATACAAGACACGGCACTCATGACACGGGCCCTCCTCTATGACCCGCACTGTGCGGCGCAGTCGACGCGGATCTACAACACGAGTGAGCGCTGTATTGATGTGCGTTAAGGCCTGACCCGTCAGGTGTGGACAGTTGGACACGTCTAAGTGGATGATGGACTTGGAGTGCTCCTCGAGAAACGATTCCAGTGTCTCGTCACTGATGGACAGGTCGGCAAACTTAGCCACACATACGCGGCTATTATTGGCCCGGAATTGGGACATAAACTTCTGTAACGATTCGCTCGCGAGTTCGCTGTCATTCACATGTGTCTCGCGATAGACCTGTTGTGAGAAGACATAAATGGCAATCAATAAAAACCGATCCCAAAAGCAATCAACACAACACTTACGTGAATGAGTAGATCACAGATCTCTCGCGGCAAAGACACAGGCCGTAAGTCGAGACCCTCTCTGACCACATATCGTAAACAAGTTTTCAATAGCGAGTCGGGACTGTTGTCCCACAATTGGGCGCCGCGTTTGCTGTCGTCCATCGTTGCCATCGGTTAAGGTCTTCGTGGATGTGATGCCAATTGAATGCAAGTGAATGAAACACAAATCAATTAAGACACGAGTTATATTCAAATTGTGTGTCGTTTTGTGTTTTACATATTTAACAGTTAATGCAAACAAAAATCACGTATTTTTCATCAAATAAATTATACTAAAAGTTTATAAAATAAAAAATGACTAAAACTGAAAATTTAGTCACACATGACATCCAATTCATACAAAAAGTCACACAAATTCTTGTGCTAAACAAAGACGGCGTAAGTCTTGGGTTTGGATCCTTTGAAGAGTTACTTGAAGTAGACTTCAATTTCACATATCTTTGGTTTGCGATAATTGCTATAATTATCCAATAAATACAACATAATTATTATTAAAACAGAATTTATAATAAAATATTTATTAAATTGATATCAATTTAAAAGCAAATTTACAAGTAAAAACATTTCAAATTCCAATGCATTATATAATTTCAATATAAGGTATTATAAAACATGTAATTTTTAAGATAACATTTGTTACGAATTATAATTTAAAAGTTTATAAACAAACAAACATTACAGCAATTATCACAAATAGTGACCAAGAATTTAATGAGAATCACAATAAATAAGCATAAAATGACAATTAATGGATAGAGAAGTGGACGGTTAGCCCCCAGTGATCGCTGGGAAAGCAAACGCTTGGTTTGAGTCGTGTAAGACCTGTGAGACCGAAGTGAATGGCCTCCACATCGGCCGCAGTCGACGGCCGCACAAACACTCTGTCAAACCGAAAGCGAGGCTTAAATCGGGAACCGCTGTTGAACTGGAGATTGTCATTACGGGTCATATCCCACGTGTATTCCACCTCTTTTCGGGCGCCGGTCTTAATCCACACGTCGTATACATTACTGGGAATTCCTCCGCAGTTTTGCACCTATTGTTACATTGAGTTGTAGTTCAGGCAAAGAGAGACAATTTAAAGTGATGTATACCTCGACGTCTCTGAGGTTGAGATCACCGCCGAATATAACGGTCGATGTCTTCTCCATTTGACACATCTCTTGGAAAGCGGTCCGCAATTGTTGGACACGAATGTCAGCGAAATCTTTAGTACTTTCCAAATGAGTGTTCAATAGACACAGCGAAGTGTTTCCGATACTAACCTATTATGACATTCAAAAAACACATTCAAATATAATTTCAATCAAAAAATCAAATCAATTGATCCCTAACTCTAGTCTTCAGTAGATTTCGACCCATCACTGATCGATCGGATGACTTGGAAAAGCCTATGACTTCGTTGGACACGAGTTTGACGTACTTCTTGTGGATGAGTGTCATTGTGTAGTACTCGACAAAGACTTGATTCCCGCTGAAGAACTCGTAATCGGGAAGCGATTGCCTTAATATCTCTTCAGACGCTTTGATCACTTCCTGCAAGAAGACAATCACTGCCTTTCCGTCTTTGATATGTTTGGCCACCGATTCTGTTCGGAGCCGAAGATTCTTCTCATCGATTCCATCGATATTCCAACACAAGAATCCAAAGTCCTTCACATTTGTCTCCACTTGTGGTTCGCCGGACGAAGAGCTCGCGACCTCTATTTCGGTGACTTTCCTTCTTATGGTTAAACAAATCAATAACTATTTGATTCATTGGTTTAGTCAATGGCCGACACCACCGGCGGATCAGATGACAACTCACTTCGGGGCCGACGCGGCGTTATAGACAACATCGCAATCGGTGCTGTCATCGCTGGAACTGATGGCCACTTCAGCGATGGCTCGTTTGGCGGCCGTCGTCGTCAACAGTGACTGTTGTTGTGATTGTTGATCAAAATAGTCGCCGACAGACACTTCCAGATCCCATCGGCGGTCCTGGAGGTAGAACTGGGCCAACGCCTCATCCGTTTCGGTCAATCGTACGAACTCTTCCACCAATTGCTGGCAAATCTCAACCGACGGCACGTCTTCCCCGTCGTCGCCGTCATCGATGGTCTCAACCAGTGTCTCATCGTTTGTGGCCATTGTTTGCGATCTCTTAAGAAAAGTGTGGATTAAAAACGAGTTATTCAATTGATTTGGGATTCAATTAATTGTTTCACAAATTGTTTGTCAAAAAACAATTCACAAAACGTTTTGACATTTGATTTGATTTTGTTTTGAATTCAACCAAAACTTTTGAACTCAAACTTTGCCTCTCATTCACATAAAACGTTACTTTAAATAAATTAGTTATTAAAGTGTGTATAACTTTCTATAATAATCATTAAATGCATTAATTTATTAAACGAGGTAAACATTAACAAAAAATATAACAATTAATTGCAATCAAACATTTCCTAAACACTAATTTACAAACAATTTATATACAAATAGTTTATTTCATTTATAGCGTAATTGATGTTCAAATTTCACATCAGTTTAAATGCCCAAACATTGACGACAAGGTTGTGTGCGTTCGGACACAACACGTGGAATACCATTAGTGACGCCAACACAGCATTGGCCACACATTTAGACACAAACACCCAAAACATAGTCAAAGCGTTAATCAATACAAACGTGTGCTAAACGTATGGCTGAGACACAGATACTTGTATGACATAAGCAGGCGTTCACGTGATGTAAACAGAGAGCGCTTCGCATAACATCTGAATGCGAATAAAAGGAGACATCGATTACAGGCATAAACACTGCAAACACTGCCAAACACTCCACTGTTTTATTCGTTATGAACTGAACGCTAGTGTTTAGCCAAACCATACATTCAGTCCATTGTTTGCTGTGAACGCTATTATCAGCCGATATTCACATATCATTTGTTAATATTCTGATCGTTACTCAAGAATATTAACATCTGATTCACTCATACCTATTGTATACCAC